TACGGCAATGCTGTACGTCCTAGCGGGGCATATTCAGCATCATACTTACTGCGGTGCTGGCTGTTGTAGGACCAGGGGTGCCACGGCCCTCTTTACCAACAACCTGATTTTGTTCCTCAGGACCACGGGTGACAAGAATTCTGAAGTGCTGCTGCCTCGTCTTTTGATCTGGTCTGATTTTAAACAAGCATCCCTGCCCTTGAGGAACCCGCTCCACCGAATTGCTTCTAGATATTTCTGACCCATTCCTGCCATTTCCGTGCAGTTCTGAATTCAATCCATCATCTGTGGGGCTAACTTCTTCTGCTGGCGGCTGGGCAGGGTAGGAAGTACTCCTTTCTAGCCGTATCCGAGGATACCTCACCAATCTGTCCCCTTTTGTTCCAGTAAAACCAAAGTTATATTCGCCTCCTGCTCCCGTACTACTGGTCTGCGGTTGCTGTAACTGGAGAACAAAGAACTTTTTCCCCGAATTTGCTGACATATCTGGCACATGCTGCAAAGACCAGCGCCGGGGTTCAGGGGTGGGAGCATTATTTTGAGCCTCAGGACCAAAGGGCAGTAGAGTAACCTGAGGCACGTCTGCACTTGAAGCCCGATGCTGAATCCTCACACCGCTTATGTTTAAACCCGAAGCTGCTTCATTTGCCTCATCTTCTCGGGTTGTTGAAGCATCCTCACTCTGGTTATTAGAAGGGATAGTACAAAATATTCTGCGATTAGAGCAAACAGTTCCATTAATCTGTTGCCCTAACTCTTCCGTCAGCCTGGGCGGAGAATTTTCAGGAGTCACCTCTGGACTGCTCGGAGAAGAAGAGTGGTTTTCAACAGGGGATGCATAATGCTCCCGAAAGTCTGAGAATTTGCAAGGAAGCGTCTCCTCAGGAGATTCCAGGGTCGTACACTCGTCCGCGCAGCCGTTCGCAGCTTTGCGCTGAAGAGAGATCTGCATTGACGAGCTTCTCGTTGGACGCACATCAATACTGTTCAGCAGCTGGGGAATAAACATGGATGTACTTCTCTTTAAGGAGCCCACTTCTTGCAAATCGCCGCCACCACCATAATCTGCTCCGTGTCGGGAGAAAGCGTGAGGACTGTTTCTTCTTGGCAAAGTGTGGAATGCCATGAAAAAGTCATCTTCTCTCTCCCGGTCGAGGATCTCTGATTCGGGGGCTGTGTTGCTTCGCCCAGAGCCAAAATGAAACCGCAGCCGATGGGCCATGGTTTTACAGAGAGAAGAAAAGGAGAGGGAGAACAGCAACAATTCAGGCACTGCCAGAAGTTAAAAACCAAAGACATAAACTCCAAGAAAAAGTGTCCCATCTGCCAAACTGTTAGCACTGCAGCCCTGATAGCGACAGATAGCAGAAATAGCCCAAGTGGCAAGCAGCATTCCAGGCATGATTGGGTAAGAGCAATCAGCGCTCCTACACACTGTGACATAGGGTAGGGTGGTGGGAGTCACGTGGCCTGGTTCCCCCTCTCCAATGTAAGCTGGTGGGGGTTTTGTTTTTTCTTTTTTTTTTTTTTTTTTTTTTTTTTTTTCTTTAATGCCAGCAAGAGCCTGAAACAGCACCTTCACAGCTGCTCCTTTTCCATCAGAGAGGAGCGGCCCCAGCGGGAGAGCTCTCACAGCTGACTAAGGCAGCGAACACACTCGGCGCTGCTATAAATCTAAACCACATCACATTCACAAGGCGCATTTGTATAAAGCACACACACAAAAATTTAACTACAACAAGCCCACTTCGATTTAGTGTTAAAGTTTAAGTCAACGCCACATGCAAATGAGAAATATTATTTCAAGCTTAACATTTTGGTGTGTGTTACAGCATTAGGCTATCATGGCAGAACATGAATAAATATAGCACGGTTATGCTTTCAATTTTAACTGTGCTCATAACATGATTAAGCAACAAACTTCTTGCCTTTAAAAAGCCACAACTTTTACATTGTCCCTACAAACGCAACATAACCTACACTACCCTGCGCAGTCCCTTTTAATAATTAAAAATTACGACAAACAAAGCAATCGTACATATGGCAAAGATTTCTCACACAATAAAAACAGCAGAAATGTGCAAGATGGCAGGAGATAAAGTTTCTTTTTCAGTTTTACCAGGCAGTAAAGACGAGTGAAAACCGGAGACGGGTGTTGCATGTCGTTTTGTACCGATTTGTCTTAAACACCGTACAGAAACTCTGCCCATTGCTGGCCAGCCTCCAGTGAGAAAGTTAGCAATATTACCACGAGTGTGAGTGCCAGCACGGAATACAGTTACGCGCTCTGAGAGCCAAAAGACCTCAGAAGAAGAACAGGCAGACAGGATACACCCGAATGTGAAACAAACACCCTAAATCAGCTCCATTACAACCCCGAAACTCGGTGGTCTGAGGATACTCACATTTGAAGTGTGCTCACAACAGCACTTGTTAGCACATACTAGAAAAGAAACTCTGTTTAGCAAGAAGCGTAGCTTCATTTCAATACACGGACATTTGTTCCCTGGGAGAACTTGAAAGCGTAAGTTTTGTCAACGGCTCTGAAGATTCGTAGGTGGAGGGTCAACGCTCTGTCCAGACATTTAAACCTCTGTTTGCAAGCAGCTTGTTTTCAAAGACAGAAAATGACCAATCACAAGAGAAATGGGAGCTTGAAACGATGCAACTGCCAACAGACAGCACAATCCCCTATTGTTTTAAGTGGACTGCGAGCCAAGAAGATGAAAAACGTGAATAGCTTCTACACAGCAACAGTACTGCAGATTGCCTTGTGGAAGCACAGGTGTCAGTATTATTTTATCGCATTTTTCAGATAAAACATATTATCCAAGGACACAGTCTCTCTTTGCACCGAAGATGAAGCTCGCGTTGTGTATTCTCTGTTTTTATTGGTGGACAGAAAGGAAAGGGCTACTGCAAAGACAGAAAGTGCTTTGATAACCTGGGAACGTGAAGAAGAAAAACAGTTCTTGTCAGAAAAACCATGTGAGTATTGACAAAACGTATTTCAGAGTAAAGCCAAAATAATCAGTTCATTCTGTAAACATAACCTGATGGAAATCTGCTACTCTCAAAAGCCCAACGTACGTGGCTTTGTCAATCGCTCAGAACACCTACTGAAAGGAGAGCAACGGCTCCTAAAACGCAGGTTGCTGCCTTTGCAGGGAGGTTACAAGCCCAAGGGCAGACTGTCCACAGAAGTAGGATTGCAGGAAGAATAAACAGAGAACGGTTCAACAATAAAGGAGTACCTAAACTGCCCGTATAAGGCCAGCACTGCATACAGGAACTCAAAAATCTGAAGCAACGTATCTGAAATGAGTACACCAAACCTGACATTTCTCAGCTGCCACTGCATATAGTGTTCCCCTGAACCGCCACCCTGTGCTGTCCGCAGGGACGTCCCCGGGCATGCCACTGCCCTCTGCGGGCCAGAGCCAAGCCTCTTCCACCAGTTCTGCCCTGTCCTCCACGCCAACACAAATGTCTTCCAGCCATCCCCCAAGACACACGCGAGCCACGCAGTAATGTCAGCCCAGCCCTGGGCCCGGCCTTGCAGACTGTGCCCTCACAGTTACGGCTCCAGGCCTTCTGCTTCAGCATTGTCTGCATCAGCTGGCAATGGGAGAGGACCTTAAAGCTGGGAAGAATTGACCAATGATCTCCTTTAAGTTCAAAAGGTATAGGACAGTTTTAATAGTGCAAGTGCTCGTTACGATCATTATATGTCAATCAATATGGTCACAGTCAGCCCACTCTCAATGCACACTGTCACAGATTTACCAATTTACTTCCTCCTAAAGGAGGCTATAATCATTTGGCTGCAAGTCCTTTTTTTCCCCCAAAAGATTACAGCTTGTATGTTTTTCTTCACTCTACATTTAACAGGAGACAGAGGAAAAGAATATATTTGTTTGAATTTGAGGGATTTTATACCTTTTTTTTTTTTTTTTTTTTAATAAAAGGATCTTCACAATACTGATCCTAATTTTCACAAAGCAAACAAGCTTAGTAGAGATTGTACTGCACCCAACCAAGAAAACATAACACTTGATCTCATAAACAGAGAGATGGTGTTACAATTTTCAAACGACAAAAATCCAAAGTCATTCACCCAGTATGCCATCGCATTGGCGTATTTAACCTAATATGTTTAGAATGCCCGTGTCACTTATTCCACGTATGGCTGCATGAAAACCTCTTCTACTTAATCGTACTTAACCATAATGCACTATGAGGGCGGTGAGGTACCCGAACAGGTTGCCCAGCGAAGCTGTGGATGCGCCATCCTGGAAGTGTTCCAGGCCAGGCTGGACGGGGCGTTGAGTAACCTGGCCTAGTAGAAGCTGTCCCATACCATCTTTAAGGTCCCTTCCAACCCAATCCATTCTATAATAACAAAGCAAGAAGCAGCAAGATGCGGGAAGACTTCTCTAGAAGAGTTACTGCATGAGACAAATGAAGTTCAAAACTAAAAGCACTAACAACATGCTGAGCGTTATGAGGCAGAGAATTGAAAACATAACAGAGAGCATTATTTTGCCATTACCTTAGACCTTCATACACCCACATCTCGAGTACAAGGTGCAGCTCTGGTAACCGCATCCCAAAAAAGGATGCAGACGTATTAAATGGTACAGGAAAGAGACACTAAAATGATCAGAGGATGAGGCAGCTGCTTTGTAAGTGACTAAAAAGGTTGGCACTTTATCAGTTTGCACTGGAGAAGCCCAAGGAAGAATGTGATGAGGTTTTCACTGTCGGAACACTGGGTTAAGGAGGACCATTTTGGTTTGACCCAGCAGAGTACTACTTTTGTGTTTAATGCTCTGACTATCAGTCCCAAAACCAGATGCTTTTTATGCTTCTCTCTGCATTTCTTAGCACACCGACTTAAACAACAGACAAAAATACACCTTTAAGACGTGCTCTATTTTCATCACCTGCATTACACGGAGCCTTGTGACTAGTGAAACGCAATCGAGACAAGCACTCACCAATCTGTTTTCATCAAACACTTCGAACAGGAGACGATGATTGGTTGGGTTTACCTATGAGAAAATTCAAATACTGTCACTTTAGGTTCACTACCTTGATGATAACAATATTAGGTACTAGTTCACACAGCGATTAAACCAAGGCAAACAGAACAGGACTAACAGGTTTTATGTAAATCTTCAGTTTTACTTAAACTGGAGCACTAGAACACTTTGTTTCTAAACCCTACTGCAACTAGAAATAGCCTAGCCGTTAACATTAACCGCTCTCATTTACTGTGTTCAATGCCAGACAGTTACTGCATTTCTCTTACTACAGAAAGCTCCGAGGAGGAACGGCAGGGCCGCTGCATACCATACCGTCGAGCTGCAATTTGGAGAGGACATCCCTGGGCAAACCATGGCTGCTGCTTCTCTCTGCTGTCACCCCCGGCGCGCGCTGCAGCCAGGAAGGGCTGGCGGGGGCTCTTTGGCTGCCCTGAGCACACCAGCAAAGCTAAGGTGGTCTCAGGAAGGGTGGCCTGGCCAAAGTGACAAGCTCTGTGTTTTGGGAACAGGTCCCAGGCTGGACAGACTATCAGGGCTCCCAGATTTTTCTGCTGTACAGCTGCAATGCTCAACTGAGACGTAAGGAGCAAGAGTTTTACTGTATTGCTTTCAGAATTTCATAATAATCTATATTTAGGACTGTCTATCGCTCACCATCTCTAGCCCGTTTATCACACATGCCTGTGGAAAACCCAACAGAAGTCTCTCCAACACTTGAAAACAGCAAATATACCTCCAGAAAATTATTTACATTGAAGTAAATTTAAGCAGAAAGACTGCCAACATTTAAAAGGAAAAAACCAAACAAAAAAAGAACTCTGGCAGGAAGACAAAACAGTCACTATTAAAGAAGAAAAAAGTTCTATAGTATTTGATCCACTTGATATTTTTTTCAGAAAAACTTTGTAAGCCAGGTTACTATGTCCAACTTGTTTAATTAAGAAAATTTAGAAACAATATTCCGCAATGGACCTGTGGTTCTGCAGGGGTGGCGGTGGACTTCCTAGTTTTGAGAAAATCAGAGAATTGTGACACACAAAGGGGCATGCATTACTTTATATATCCACGTTATTGTTTAGGATTTTCTAGACGTTTTAACAGAGCTTCTATGAACTGTCTCTGTAGTTTAAGCAACACAAATTGTAGCAGTTTTGTGTAGTCTCTTTTCCTGGGAAAAGTAAATGGTTAATAAGGCTACCTTGAATAATATCAGTTAAAATTATAAGCACAAATATACATAACAAGCTTGCTTAGTTCTGAGTAAACATATTTCACTTCAAAACACATGAATTTGTTCCTTACAGTCTGTCTTGCAACTCAGCATGTTTATGAGACCAGTATTTATAAAGACGGGCTTCTGGAGGTGAGGTCACCCATTTCTGAATCACGTATGCAGTCGGGATCAAATCTGGGGGAGCCTGAAATGTCTTCGGACAGATAAGCAGTCGAAAACTTTCTTCCACTTCCCTTTCCTGTGCAATGGTCACGATGGTCATCTCTCTATAAAATCCGTCCTCTGTGCCGAAGGCAAAGGCATTTGAACACTTCACCATAAAATGCTCTCTTACTAGGGTAATGACTTTCTAGTAAAATTACAGTATTAAAATTCCTCTGCATTTTTACAGGCAGGTAGCTTAAGTTATCCCATGGCAGAGCCACCTCTATAATGAGAGGTGTGCAAACATCAAAAATCACTGCGATGAAAATGGAAAACCTTCAGTCCGGTCATAATTTAGTGTCAAGACAGTTCCTATGGACTCTGCATAACCTAATAAAGCGTAAGTCCATATTTTCCCCTCTGAGTACATTATAAATATCAAAATATTTCATTAGCTAAAGATGATCTTAGATATGTATTACCCAGCTGCAAAACCGAGAAAAGCTGTTTGGTACATGTTTAAAAATAAGAATTCCACTTAAACCTCAAAAACCTGTGTATTAACGATTATATTGGTGAGAACTATCTATCTAAAAAATCCTATTAGCAGGACAGTCACTTGCTAAGACTCTATAAACAACGTTCAATATGATACCCGTTTTTAACAATCTACAATGACATCTTTTCTCAAGCAGCTGTTTAAGATTAAATTTTAAAAACCACTGAAATTCTACCTAACCGTCTTTTTTGAAAGCTACAGCTGCACTAAAATTAAGTCATTCTTCTTTGGAAACATATTTTCAGCAACTAAATAACAAAGTTGTTATTGCCTTTCTCATTTATATTATGTTGCTTTTGATAATCACTATTTTAACCCCTCCTTTACCACTTTCAAGTATTTAATTTTTTCTTTTTCTGATAAAAATCACTCAGTTTTAGCTGTAACTTGGTTTTCCTTTTAAGCAAGATCTAGAAAGATTAAAATGAAACTACAAAAACACACCCCCAACATATTTTGACCTTTTTGGCAAGTAACATAAAGGCCAAGAGAAATTACTTTTTCCATCTTCCTTCTCTACATTTCTATTTCATTATTTTTTGCCATGATAACTTAAATTTCATACAGCTCTTGGAAATGCCTCCGATTATTCGCCACTGCATTAACATTTTAAAACCACAGCAAACATGCTCTGCTAAAAATACTTTTTCAAATAAAAACAATTTTTTATTTGTCAGATGAATTAACTCAAAAGTTACTCTAAATAAAATCTCAAATTGTGAAACAGTCCATTTTGAATTCATCTTATGCCAATTTCTGCTGATCATTGCATCACTAGAGAGACAGAAGAGCAATAGCATCCGGACAAACATTTTTAATGTAAACACATAAACAACATAAAAAATAAGCTTCTTCCAACGTTAGAAAATGCCATGCGATTAATTGTACATGTTATAATAATGATTGCAAGTAAAGGGAAACTTACTCTAAAATAAAATTCTTCATTCCATTTTGGATTCAGTGTCTGTAAAAGAAATAAACATATTTATGTACTAAAATTTCTTTAGGTTTGCCATTTTCCAATCATCAAAATGTGCATGCAAGTGACAAATTTCTAGGGGAAAAAAAGGGGGGGGGGGGGGGGGGGAGAAAAAAGCATGTTATAAAAAAATTGAAAAAAAATTGCCATCAAATTATTTAGAAATTCTCTACCGAGTAAACCAAACATGGGAGGATATTTGAGTCAGAAGATCCTAAAATAGATGTTAAATATGAATAGGATTCTATGAGTAACATGCAGATCGCTGAGAACCTGTAGAAATAAAACCTGAGGACGTTTCAATTCTCAAGATTCATTTAAACCCATATAAAAAAAAAAAAGTATTTTTTTTAAACACAAGGAGAACTTTAGGGCTACAAAAATAAGGACAGATTTATACTGTAAATTAAACAGCAAAAAAGAACAAAAGGAAACGTTATTCCTCTGAATAGGTATGACACTCTTCCTAACCTCCCCCAAGCCTATGGAGGATTTTAATTTTGTCTCAATAACCTGAATAAAATGTACAGAATAAAATATGTATATAGATTGCAATCTGAAGGGAGCTCAAGCATAAAATAATCAAATTGATAAAAAAAAAAGATATTAGAACCACAAGCATTAATATTTTGAGCAATTCAAATTTGGATAAGTTTAAAAAACAAGTATGATATGTCCAACGGTTTTTGTTTTCATGCCAAATGATTCCCTCATTCTCTCATAGCAGAGATTTACCAAAGAGCTGACAGTAAAAATTGGCTCTACACCCACCAAAATTTTGTTATAGCAGAGAAGGAGAATCTTGGCTGTTCATCTCAACTCCTTGATATATATACAATAGATTTATCATGTCCAGGACACAGGGGCACACTACACTGCATTCCTCTACAAAATGGAAATACAGGAGTCGTATCGTAGCTCAACATGCACTGGCACGATCACATCACGCTGACAACTGTACATCCTCCTTTCCCCTTTAAATTGGGGCTGAATCTCAACCCAACATCTATGTAACTGATCATCAATGAAATGAAACACCGAAATTTGAAAACCCTGGTCTAGAAAATTTAGGGGAAAAAAGGAAGAGAAAAGTAAATAACAGTATAAAAAAAGAGCAAACTCTAAACCTACATAAACAGCTATGCAGGTGGTTAACAGTTGTACTCTCAGAAAACTTTTACCTGTTTATCCTGAACAATCTTATGAGAGAGCACGAAAACATTTCTTGAAAGAAAAGACCATTGTAAAGGGTAGATGAAAAGAATAAAATGAGTGTAGGTGAAGGGCAGGGATACGGGTTGGGGGCAGGAAGAAGCTTTCAATTTGTTTGCCTTAAGGAGCACAAATGTATTCAGCAAAAAAAATTACGTAATAAGAAAAAAAAGTGATACTTTTTAAGTACTTGTCTTCATCAAATGCGGCTGTTATTGGCAAGAGAGGTTCCATGTAATTCAACAAATGAAGCACGGTCTCGTAATAAATTTGAGGGCACTACTGTCCATCAATAATCCATTAATTTTGAATGCTGCTTAACCACAAATACAAATTTCAGGAAATATTTGATGTATTAGGCAGCACAATGTTTGGTAAATGCCCCGGTAACCGGCAGAAATTTCTTCCACCTTTGTAAGTCAAACAATTAGTAAGGTCAAGTCAGAAAGTACAAACACTAGAATCCCAGCAAAGCAGAAAACCACTTGTAAAGAAAGGCTCCAAAAATAAAGGCATGAATAACTTCATAAAGGATATTAGCAGGGAAACAACAGACTCATCAGCAAAATGAGCTATATCCTAAAAAGGGCAAGTATAGTAGAGATAAAGAACTGCCAAGAGTCAAGCTGAGTTAGATCTTCCACGGGATATTAGAACAAACACAAAGAAGGTTTTTCAACCAGATAAATAAAATGAGAACACGGAAAGAAATGATGCTCCTAAGCAATGAAGCTCAGTGGGGAGACTAAGCCTATTTAGATACGGGAAATTATGTTTAACGTTACATATGGGAAACGCAGAATAACTACGAGGGATCAGTACGAAGGTAGAAGCAGTCACGAGTGATGTAGAAGTGAAGTCTTCAGAGCTCAGCGCAGTCAAATTGACACACGAAATCACAAGCCTAGTAGCAGGAATTTAAAAATCATACTAAGCATCTTACAAGATCATAAGATGGCAAACAGCAAATGCAGCCTTTTCTACCGTGGACAGAAGAGAGCATTTCTAGCAGGCCATTCAAAACACAGCTCCAAAAGGCAACGCAAGGCATTAATCAAATTTTACAGTTGGAATAACTAAATGTGTGGAGGGAGGTAAATCAAAACAAAAAGCCTCAAAAATTCAACATAGCTAGATCATGCCAGATGAATCTGAACTTTTTCTGATAACTTTATTTTTTCAGAGTAAGGGAACACTGCTTTTAATCCCTTTGGCTGTAACTAAGCACACTTCATAAGGCTAGGTCCAGCTGCACAGTAGGAAACGTAGCAGACAACTGCACAGGGCATGTAAAAGGAGAATAAGAAGGGGAAACGGCAGGCTCTTCTGCCTTCTCGAAGGCACGTCCTGCAAGACAGTGCCAGACAGAAAGTTACCCATTAAACGGAGGAAGACAAAAAGGAGCAGAGAAATAAGAAACTAGTGAAGGGCTAGACGCCGTCATATTAAAGGAAACGTTACAGAGCTGAAGGAGGTAATTGGCGGTGTCTTTCAGAATCACTCCTGAGACTGAGTTTGCTCAATATTTTTTTGTTAACGCCTAAATCAAAATCAAGATCTACTAACGGCGTTTGGTATTTATGAAATAAACAGAGATTGCAAATTGCAGAGGAAGAATACTGCTTTGAGGGCAGAAGTCTTGAGATGAAATTTAACAATTCAAACCAGAAATGACTAACTAGAACTTTCCAATAGATGAGTTAATAGTACTATTATGGAAATGACTGAGAAAGTCCAGGCTTGAAGTGACAGTTACAAGAAACAGTGAAAAAAGACAGATGCAATCCCAGGAATACATCACACAATCCCAGAATCGTTTAGGCTGGAAAAGACCTTTAAGATCATCGAGTCCAACCATAAACCTACCACTGCCAAGTCCACCGCTAAAGATGAGCATCATCATCTCGTCCTCAGGCCTCTGTCTACGGCCGGGCTGTTGTGCAAACACTGTCCCTTTCCTCTTCTTGCCTAGGGCAGCGCTAAAGCCAGGAGCTTCTCTCTTCCTTGATACAATCAATACAATATTTTCACACCTTTACTACATTTTTTTTATTTATGGTGGTCTTCTCAGAAGCTTTCTTATTCTCCTTTCACATGGATCCAAGGCTGGCAAGTATTGCTTCAGATCAGCCATAGTGCTACAACCTTCTTTCCGATCTAACGTTCCGATTTCAACCTCTCCTAACTTTCTGCACTACAGCCAGTACATTTCAAATGTGTAGGAGCCAAATATGCCGTGTCCTTAGTAATCATGCTTTTATACCAGCAACATTCTTTCAAATAAGGACAATGTCATTCTAATAAGAATTTAAAAAAAAATAATTTAAAAAAATAATTCATTAAAAAAAGAAATCAGAAATTGACTAAAACTCTGGATGTGATCACCATTATTTCCTAAGAAGCAAGGGGGAAAAAATGAAGTCCTACATCCATGCCACACTTCCGATCTCCTCTGCCCCCATTTCACGGACTTGCTACACAGGATTTCTCTCGAAAGCCAAAGGATCCTTGCACCCTCGCCACCTGCTTCACATCCTCTCTGCTATCGTAACTGTCCCGAGTTCGAGTCACAGAGTCACGAACAGCAGAGGTCCCTTCCAATACCTAGAGCATCTAGGCTCATGCTACCTCACCCTGAAATTCTTCCATTTCACTGCAGTGAAAGGTGAAAGATGAAAATCTCCCTCCCATCCTCAGGCATTTGCGGTTAACAGAAGCTACCATACTATTTTAAGACAATACACAAGCACTACAAGAACCGGACTCGTCTAGACAGTTATTTTTAGGTAAGCCATTATTTTTCAGGAATCCTGAAGCATACATTTTGCAAACAAGCCCACCAAAGCGAATGCATAGACTGTTTGTAGGGTGCAACTGTTCACGTGTCTCCGGCCGCCACCGAGTTCTCTCAGATGAAATGAGTTGCCCGTTTAGTAGCTGGGAAAGTCTGAGCCCATATCACTATCGATCCAAAATTACTACAGGGGCCCAACTTATTTTTTAAATGAGAAAATAAACCTTCACCTACACTCATTTTATTCTTTTCATCTACCCTTTACACTGTAAGAAAGATTTATCAGCACACAGACACAGGTGTACTGATTTAAGAGTTTCTCATGAATATTGCCATTCATGATATGACAAAGGCAATCTTGCACTTCAGCAAGAGCACGTTAATTAGAATTCTGGTATAATCTTAATAGCCAGGTATTTTATAATAGCCTGAAAATGACCTATCGAGCCTAAGCATTTTCCGTTCATGTGATTCCAAGAACAGGACTTAATTCCATGCAACTACGTCCCAGGAAATGGCAAGACAAGCAGCACGCTCTCTAGGGAAACAAGACACGCGTATCATAAGAAAACCTCCCACTCACTTGTATGGAATTAGCGATAAATCTGGCACCTATTTAAGGAAACAAAAAATGCCACAGTCCATGTTGTTACTATGGCAACAAACTAGGTACTCCTTTTTGAAAAAGTTAACATTTTTCTCACAAGTTTTAATGTCTAAAAACTTTACATAAAACTAAGCTAGATGGGCTATAAAGAACTTATTTAAAAGGAGTCAATGAACGTAAAAATGCTATTACGAAACAAGTAGCAGTGGTTAACCAGGAAATCTTTTAAAAATTACTTTTGCTTTCCAACGTCAAACATGCCCTGGGTCCTGTGAAGAGATCTGCTCGTATCTTCCACGCTTCCAGGCTTTCACATCGGTTTTCTCATGACACCTGATGTTCTGATTTCAGAACAGCATCATTCGATTTTGTGTTTTCAATAACAACATTTTCCTCACTATACTGTTTTGCAATAATGATTTCAACTGAATCATTGTTGGTTCTAAATATCTTCATAAAAATGACAACTCTCTATTTTTTTTACTTTTCACACAGGTTATGACTTTTTTCCGCTATGCCATCACTACCAGCAAATCTAAAAAACTAAAAAAACCCCATTTCTTAGGGCCCTCGTGACAAATATCCCCTCGCAGAATTTTTGTTTGTGTGGAATGAAATTAGCAAACCAAAGAAAATTTCATTTTGGTTCTCATTAAAAATGAAAACGTTTTCAGTGCATTTCCAGGCTTTTATTACAGCATACCTTCCGTCATTTGGCTCTTTTAAATTCCCATATTAGGAAAATATATTGAAAATGGAAATTTTGAAAGGGAACACTAAAGAATGATCATTTTTGCTAAAAGTCAAATAAATAATAATTAAAACAGAGTTTCTTAGTTCTTTATTTCAGATATGTCTTTCATTAAAATGAAAATGACTTTGACAAAAGAAACAGTGAAAGATAAAATGAGATTTGATAAGCCAAGGTTTAGAGAATAATACGCAACATATTAGCATTTTTTTTCTCTTTTGTTTTTCTGTCAACAGATCACGCACACCGAAGATGCACGCACTTGTTTTCTTATTTTGGTTTGAAAAAAAAAAAGATTATTCAGTTGCTATACATGCATGCAACAATTTAAATAAGCGTTGCATTATGTTATAGAATTGTGTTCCAGTATTCTTAATATTTCCAAAGCCATGGAATAAAAAAAGAGTACATACATACCTTTTTAATAGTTTTTGTCTGCACAAGAGCAAGTTCTCTGTTCTCATCTGCTACATACAAGGAAAGTTTCACATACGGGTCACTGCAAAAGAAGACGTCATATTTAACGGGAATATAATTTTACAGACAAATATAATTTCAGGATAAATCTGTCATTTAATTGGACAACAATAGCAGTTCTAAACACTTTTAGTGAAAGTGTTTTCAGTGAAACCTAGTAACTGGAACAAGCTACTGAAACATTTAAAATGTGTTTGAATATGCTCAGTTAAATACTGACGATAGCATTAAAGATAATTTAACTTGCAGCTTTGTCCCATTGCTATGGACAAGAACCACTTGCTTGCATACACCTTCTGCTCACTAGCATGCACGTGGCAGTCCATTTAAAACGAGTCAAGAAAAAAGCTGAGCCATGGGTTTTAGAAGAGCCTCACTGTAACTAACCACTTGAGGTTGACGGGAAAGGGAACAGGAATTATCTTGAAGAAGTGGTTCCAATTTCATTGACCCATGAAACCAAGCTGCATTGTATCAGTGGTGATACCAGCACGGCCCTTCTGTCCACGGATACCCCTGCCCAGACCCTGAGCTCTCCTACCCATGCCACGGGTCTCCTCCTCGCCAGCTGGTCCACTGCAGTGCTCGCTGCAAACAGATGCTTGTACACTCCTCTCACAGGCAATCCACACTCGTGGGTCCCCCCGCAAATGCTGTCATGGACCCTCTCCCCACCTAGTACCCCTGCCCGGACCCAGGCCTCCTACCCCCACCTGGTCCAGCCTGGGGTATGCTAATGCCTTCCATGCTGAACACCTACCCTTCCATGCTGAACAGCACACTGACCCTGCTCCAGCTTTTCAGGCCCTTCTCATTACCAGGTTGCTGAAGATCAAACGCTATTGTAACGGTTTGCACAAACACTTCAGCTTCCGTTCAAATCCAATTTCCAAGGTCGATGAAGCACCGTGAACATTAAGTTTGCAGCTATGGGGTATTATAACTGCTACCTTGAGCTCTCCGGAGTAGTAAGTAGAACTACCACTAGAGCTATTTTCCATTAGAGTTTATCTGCACTTAGGGGAAGTCCTGCCCACCATGCCAGAACCAGCCGGCATAGACAAATCTGGTCTCAGATCTCCCCCCCCGACCCTCCTCTTCTTTGCAGAAGGAGAAGGAAGTAGAGATATTCCAGAGACCATGCAGCGCTCTATGTCAGATACCCTTCAGATATAACACGTGCCACTAAAGAAGGTCACTGCTTTCACCCTAACTCCAGCTGCTTCTCACTATTGCTGTGCTGTAGGTTTCTACCCTCCAAACCTGTGCTTTCTAATTTCTTTCAGCAGGGAGACAGTAGCTACCAGTAAGGGGTGATGTGCAGGAAGGCTCCATGACACCAGTATGAGATGACAGTCTGCTAGATCCTTCCCAGTACCAGCAGAAGAATACTGCATCTGTTGGGAGCTCTAAATGTTGAAGGACTCCACAAGATCTGAAGAAGGCAATCTTGTATGCTACAGCAACCTTAAGTATGCTAGCGTGGTTTCCACAGTACTCACAAATAATACATTCGAATATAACCTTTCTTTTATGGCATAAACTAGCATGGTCATGAAAATGATCCAAGGACTGGAACACCTCTCCTATGAGGAAAGGCTGAGAGTTGGGCTTGTTCAGCCGGGAGAAGAGACAGCTCCAGGGAGACCTCCTTGCAGCCTCTCAATATATAAAGGGGCTTATAAGACAGACAGAGAGAGACTTTTTACCAGGGTCTGTAGTGACAGGACAAGGGGCAACAACAGTTTTAAACTGAAAGAGGGTAGGTTTAGAATGGACATAAGGAAGAAATGTTTTATGATGAGGGTGGTGAGACAGTGGAACAGGTTGCCCAGAGAAGTTGTGGATGCTCCAGGTTGGATGGAGCTTTGAGCAACCAGATCTGGTGAAAGATGTCCCTGCCCACAGCAGGGGGATTTGACTAGGTGATCTCTGATGGTCCCTTCCAACCCAAACCATTCTACAATTCTATGACTCTATGCTGAAAGGACCCAACTGGGAGAAAAACCTCCTGCAGCAACAGAATAACTTCATACAGGTATAATGTCAGCAAGTAGAACTGGAGCAGTGCCTCTGCTTGAAGAGAGGAAAGGGGTGGAAGAGTAAAACGAGGACACTCAACTGCTCCAATGCTTCCTTTTCAAGACTGTGGCACAGTCATCTGGATGCCAATCTAAGGGTTCTCGAAGGAAGGATAAACAACAGACATTCAGATTACCAACCGCTTCATTCAGAGATTCAGACACTCTCAAATACATTTTCTCTGATGCTTTTTAAATTTAAAAACCAATTTTGTGACAGCATTGCTACAGAATAATCAGCAGTTGAGTGTTCATTATACTAGATGCTTCCTTTACTTGGAAAATAAAATACCAGAGTAAGGTGAAAATAAAGTAAGAATAAACAAGACATCATGTTGGATTGATTATTGTATCAGTAGATGCACATAAATGCATCTACTTAAATGGCAATTAAGTTCAGCATTACGTACCAAGGTTTAAAAGAAAACAAAGCATCATTGTGATTAAAAAGAAATGCTGATACTACTTTGAATTGCTTAATGTACTGTGCTGCCTGATATTTACTGGCAAAATAGACTCTTACAAGAAGCAGTAGGAACCAGATATTCATTGAAGCTTGCAGATTGCAGTGTGGGGGAGGAATCAAAGGGAGCCTTTCTGACATAAGCCAACGTGAAGAAAGAAATTTGTATGGAAGGAGGATTAAAAGGCAAAATTAAGGACCTTATAGGGCGGTGAAATGAAAGTCTTAACCCCAACACTGCACAACATTAAGAAACTAAGACTGACTGCTAACATTTGGATCCACAGAAGCATTTATTTTGGGGATCTCGTGGTCAAGCTTTTCTGCAGGTCTGGCCCTCAGTCTTAATTCAATGCTTAGACACTTAGTCCATGTCTAAGAATGTAGTTTTGCCTTTAGTTTTAGCTGGTCTAAGTCTGCTGCTGCTGCTGAAGTTAGCCTATCCTCTCCTCCACCTTTGGCCACATATTCCTGCATCACTGCTGGTCCATCAGATCAGACAGCTGATGTGATTGAAAAAAACACTACAGAAATAATAACAGCCATAATGACAAAGTATAGGTTTTCAGATATAAAATTTCCCGGAAGATAGGGAGGAAAACAAATGCACAGCTGGGATACAGGGAGGGTAGGACTTCACCTTCAATGGAAGCACAGACTCAGCTTAGCTTAAGCCAATTGTAAAACCTCACTCTTAGTTACTTCTGGAATCAAAGCCTATAAAGTATTATTTTTATAGCTGTTTCACTGCACAGGACATTGACAGTCATATGTAAAACTGAAACAAAAAGATCATGTGGGTATAGGGGGACCTGCACCTAAACATAACGCTACTAGCTATGCACACTTAAAAAATGGGAAGATTCTTAAAGAAAAGACTCTTTAATGCTAAATAGGTGGGAATAACATCCTCCCAGTTTTAAGTTATCAATGCATACTTGGGCAATGCTGTTTTCATGAACCCTCAGAAATACTAGAATTTCTTAATCTTAAAATATCCTGGATGAATCTTCTGTCTACAGAAAACAAAGAACTGTGAAGGTGGCAACAGATTTTTTTTTTTAATTATACTTTACTTTTTTTTAAAACAAGAGAATAATTAAGTTTATTACAAATTTTCGTAAGAAAATTTTGCCTTTACTAAACAGACTATTGACATCTCTGCCTGCTCTAGAAGTGGGACAGACTGAGTCAGACTAAACTGTACCAGCAAAGTTCTCACTCCTGAACGTGAGACGGGAATTTATCCGAATGATCAGATATTTGAGACTGTTTACTTACGTGCACTCATTTACTTAAAATGAGCACGTAGCTGGACAGATACTATAGACCAAGGTAAGTCGACACTGCTGTGAGTAAAGCGGCCTTGCACCTCCCTCTACCCTGGCCGCTTGTTCTGGCCTTTGTGCGGCCCCTTCTGCCATGGCAGAGCCCCTCTGCATGGAGCTATGCACAGAAACGGATCAGAGCGAGGGTTCAAGTTAACCGCGACAGGCAGCGGGGAAAGAAGGGGTCGCTTTCCAGCCCTGTCAGCACCCTGGCTCCTTTCAGTGCGTGCAAACGTGCTAACGTTTGCTGTTCTGGGCAAGAGAGGATACGCAGCAGAGGCAGGAAGGGGCATCAAGGGACAGGGCAGAAAATTGTACTTATTTGTTTTGAAGTCACAATGTCATCTTAATGTTTTCTGAAGTCTACCACCTGACTTCATCCTTCAACAAACTAAACATCGCAAATAAACAGAAAACAGCACTTGTTAAGGACATCTTTAAGCCACGCACTGCCAGCTTGGTTTTTTTGTTTTTAGCTCTTTGAATAGCAATGACCATTTAAAAAGAAAAAAAAGAAAACTATTAAATAGAATGTAAGGAAACAAGTACAGAGGAAAAGAAACAAGACCTGAGATTTACCACTACAGTTTCTTATCCAGAACCTGTGACTGATGTGATTTGATGACAGCTTATAGAAAAAGTTGTTTACGTCACGTTATCTGCTTTACATCCTGCTAAATTCAGCATTTCATTCACAACTCTGGAAGCTGCAGCTGCCTAAACAAACCTGATCTAAGCAGCTGTGAAACTTCACGTGAAAGCTCTAGGAACTGAAGGATCAGAGAGCCAAACTCATTTAGCGACAGTGGCAAAGACAGCATCTCATTCACAGATTGTAGCTTCCAGGCCAAAGTTTCCTAAAAGAATTTAGTTATCTGAAGAATAATCACCACACACACAACTTCTGTTCACACCATCAGAAAATAAGAGGACGTGAGTATCGGATACCACAGAACAGAACACTGAATTTCTAGCAGTTTTCTTCTCCACTTGGAATTAGCTGTAAATAGCAAATACTGTTGAAGTCTATTAGGTTGCTTCTCTCACCATGTAGTTCTAACTAACCCAGCAAAAGTTTCCAGGAAATCAGCTGATTTTTCTTCATTAGGATGCAGTATCATGGTAATCGCACTGAGTCATGGCAAGGGCT